TCTTATAATTTCTATGAAAAAAAGGCAAAAAATACTGTTAGATTCCATTTCCCTCATATCAAAATACAAATCATCTTATTAGTAACAAGTTTTTTTCAATCATATCCTAAAAAGAAATTTCTCTCTCTCTCTCCTAATTTACTTTTTTCTCACTTTAGTTCGATCTAGGTGTTACACTCTTGGCCTAGCAAATGGGTTTAGTGATAGGAGTTCAAATCTGCGCCCAAGGGGGTGCCCCACAACGTCCCACAGGCCACAACACATCCCCTTCGTGTATTGGGAACATCTCCAGATGATGATATCATCGGTTTTGGTACTATCATCGGGAGATGTTTCCAATACACGGCAGGGATGTGCTGTGGGATGTTGTGGGGTGCAGATGTGAATTCTAGTGATAGGGTGTGTAGATGATRCCCATTGACACATGAAGTGGAGAGTAAATTCACATGAGTGCCCCACATATAGTGCCTTACATGCACCCCACCACACATCCCAACCGTGTATTGGGAACATCTCCCCATGACAAGTAATCACCCTAAGATGCCTTGTGAAGAGCCTACTTTTATGTGGGTTGAACCTGCACCTCTTCAATCCTAAGGATGCCTTACTAGAATTTGCATGGACTCCCCAAAGCACAATCCAACCCTGTATTGGGAACATCTCCCGTGAATCCATAATAAGTACGAAAGACGTTTCCAATGCATGCTGATGGAAATATACATGTGGGGTGCCAATCTAATTTACCTTGAGGATCTACTTGGCATTGAGTAGATTGGCTTCTTCTAGTTAAAATAATCTATTTCTTCTCCATTTCATCTTTTTACCTAACAAAACAATTCAGGCACTTATTCCTTTTATCCTTAAACTAGTGATCTGACACGTTTATTTTCATGTGGTGCTAAAGCACCCCCCTTCATGTCTAAGCACACTCAAAAAGAAGATAAAGAGGTCTACTTTGTATAGTTTTGCTTTATATGTTGTAATTGCATAAAAAACAAGGTTCTTTTATTTTCTAATAATCATTCGGAGATAAGAGGAATCAAGCCCATTAATGGCAAGATCGGTTAAGATATTTGTTATCTAAAAAAGCCTTATCTATCTTTATTTGTTTTATTAATTCATCTACAATAAACTTGATTTAATAAGTTAAATTTGAGAATATTCTTACTTATGCTCTGTGGATTGATTTATTTTCTTACATGAATAATTTATCTTGTTAAAATATTCTTACTAAAAGATGTAAACAGTTCATTTAAAAATCAGATCTTCTTCATGTAGTTCTTTTGGGTTAACTATTTAAAGTATCCATGAAGTTTAAGAACCTAATTAAACTCTGAATTTTCGGAAAATTTTAGGTATTATTTGGTAAGTCTTTTTAGGAAGATCTTTTGACAGCCTAGATGACTAAAATATGTAATAAGCTTTTGGAGTCTTGTCTTTAAAGATATAGATTGTTTGGTAAATATCCTTGTCTATCATGATCTTTAGAGTTGTTGGATATAATATTTTAATTAGGTGTAGAAAGACAGGAAGATTCATTTGAAGTTTTCATATTTTGAACTTTCATGAGCTTTTTAGGGCATAAATCTTTTCTAGCTTCACGTCTTTTATTTCCAAACAGACTGACTCCATTTGGCAAGTCTTTTTAGGAAGATCATCCAACAACCTAGACGGCCAAAAAATGTAATGAGCTTTTTAGGTATTGTCTTTAAGGCTATGTTTGGTTTGAAGAAAAATGTAGGGAAAGGAAGGGAAAGGTAGGGAAACTCATACATGGTTTGTAAACTTTTTCCTTCAAACCAAACACAACCTAAAGATCTAGATCACTTGGTAAGTATCTTAGTCTACCATGATCTACATGGCTAATGAATGAAAGATTTTAGGCGTAGAAAAAACAAGAAACTTCATTTGAAGCTTCCATGAGCTTTGTAGGGGATAGATCTTTTTGGATTCATATATTTCATTGCCAAACAAAGAAAGAGCTTGAAAGACCACACGAAAAGACTTATCAAATGCCTCTACTTTTCAGTAAGTCGTGTTAAAGCATACCTCAATATTTGAAAGCATACCTCCCTTGAACAAAAACCTGAAATCTAAACTGCTACATTAATTCTTGAAACCACACTTGGCCCATTACAAAAATTCATCATTTATTGGTTTAATTCAAAGTTTCAAGGAAAAACTTAAGGCTGTGTTTGGTTGCAGTGCAAATTTATTTGCAGTARTACAAATGCATGGGAGTGCAAATGTAAAAAAATGCAAATTCTCATTTAATTTTGTTTTGGGTTTTGCTTTATTATGCTTCATGTCTTAATTTACTTCATTGTACTGCAACCAAATAAAACAAGCTAAAATTTGAAATAAAAATAGGTCAAAATTTACACTCAAGTATTTGCACTGCCATGGCTTTGCACCAGTGCAAATTTATTTGCTTTGCAACCAAACATAGCCTAAACACACAAACCAAAGGACCAATGATTTGTAAAGGTGGAGCAGCTGGAGCTAAAGAGTCTCACACCAATTTTTGTAATTTGAGGTTGAAACTAAACTACATGAAAGCCATGAAAGCAAAGGAAAATAGAAACGCTTGGCTTTCATATTCTTTCTATTCAAGAAACTCATTTCAGGAAAACTGTCCAAAGATCCTCTTCTTTACMTGGGAATTTCTTTTGATTCAATAATGGATTCGGTTCTCTATCTGATTCCCTAAGGCTGCATTTGGCATTCCTTATTTTAAGGACTTATCTCCTTTTGGTCATTAAAATACTCTTATAAAGGGGCCACTTGGCAAGTTTTTTTGGGAAGATCTTTTAGTAGTTCTGACAGTCAAAAAATGCATTAAGCTTTTGTATGAAGATTTGAGTAGCTTGAAGCTAGTTTGGCTACTGCGTATCTTTTTGTGTCTTTCCGTGCAAGAATAAAATGAAAAAGATGCAAAAAAGCTYCATTTGGAGCTTCCCGAAATGGACTTTTCACATTTTTTCGATGCACAGACTTTTGATGACTAGATCTGCTGTTATGAACCAAACGCAAAAAGTCTGCGGCACAGTCTTCCCCGCTTGTAAACAGCAAAAAGACACACCAAATGGAGTCTGAGATTTTAATTACAAAAAAAGAGATAAAATTTTAAAATAAAGAATGCCAATACAGCCTAAGCATTAAAATAGCAAAAAGCCAAGACTCATCAATGCTGAAATTTGAGGGCTCATGCCAAAACCAAAGTGGATTACTGTATTTCTTTTTCTTTTTGCAATTCTAATCAAACCATTGAAACACACACAGAGAACTGAACAACCTTCTGTTACTTTTGCAACACTGAAAAACTGGAATTAAGGTCTCATGCAAAATTGAGAAGGCTATTGCCATTTTCGGTTCTGGCTTTCTCTTTTTTAATCTCTGAGCAATCGGATATGAGTTCCCTTCCTCCAAATTGATTTCAAACCGAGTGTTTTCTAGTGCACTGGAGAATATATATATATATATATATATATATATATATATATATATATATATATATATATATATCGATATATCTATCGGGCAATATTGATACTATTTTTTTTTTAAATCTGATTCAGGGGGTTGGTTTAAGGTTCTTTCAGTCCTGAACCAGTCAAAACCCCGATACATCCTCTATAAAAGCATATCAGAGTGTTCTCGATATAATATATATCAACCGATATAGATTGATATGTAACGATTTTTTGAACTTTGACCAGAGATATTTTAGCTAAGCTCGATGCTCCACTATCTTCATCACTTAATGGCTTGAAAAAAATGAGAAATAAAAGCACTACTCTTTCACAACTTTTTGGGGCGGTTTGAATGATGGTTTGATTATGAATATTGAATAATCCAATTCATCCAATTATATCAAACAACCCCACCCACCAATGAATTATAGACTCATTACTCACTTGGGCTATGTTTGGTTTGATAGAGTATGAGAGAGAATCCGAGTGAAATTTCTTAACAATTTCCCTCAATTTTTTTCTTCTTTCTCTCTTACTTTCTATCAAATAAAAAACATCATGTAATCTACGCTGCAGGCGGAGTAGGATTTGCTCACAACAGAAATTGTACCAACATGTATCTATATCCACTATCCACACATCTCACCATGAGGCTGGGGTCCACCATAAGAATGGGACCAATCACTTGGCTTTGATAACCGATGGTTGGACCGGTTGACATGGGAACCAGTCCATTCCACCCTAAAACTGTCTCTGGGACAAAAACCATTGAATTGGTCGATGACCCAATGACCCAGGTGGTTGAACCATCAACCCATCGACTCAGACAGTGATTTTGACTGTATTTTTTATTTTAATTAAATTTTTATTTTTATTTTCCTTAAATCAGAATACACCATCCGTTCAAGTCAGACAGTCAGACCATTTGACCCAAAAACCGATGGCAAAAATGATTCCATATCCATTTCGATTTTTAAAACTTTGACCAACCATATCTRGAGGATGTGCGGACACAAACCATGTTAAAACAAAATTTTGTTGTGAGCACATTCGGCTGATGGCGGAAATGCACTTATTGCTTTGTTTTTTAATGGATAAAAATAGTTCTATGTATATGTATAGGGGGTTTAATAATCAACTCAATATGCTTTTCAGCCGTTAAACAATGAATTGTTCAGTTCAGCCAAATTATATCAGCCCCACCAATGTTTGGTTTGATAGAATATAAGAGACGATCTGAAAGTTGACCGGATGTTCTTTGAAATTTCTTAAGAAATTTCCCTCAGCCTTTTTGTTTTTCTCTTATTTTATATCGAAACAAACACCACCTTAATCTTGTAAAATTTCTTAAGGACATTGGCTCAACTTTCTGTCTCTTATTTTTATATCAAAACAAACACAGCCTTAATACTGGATCAGGCCCAATAAATTAGTCATATATATATTTCCATCAAGGGGATTGGCACCCACTGGTAAATAATGAAAAAGCTCAAGGTGTCAGACTCATAGTTTCACTAATTAACTGGCTGACCAGTAGAGTAGGGCTAGTCCGGCCCGAATCGGCCCAACCCACAAATCTCTAAGCTTGGGCCTTAGCCCACATTAAGCCTGAAAATTTGCTAGCTGGGCCTGAGCCCAATACAAAACACGTGGAAGATTAAAAATTTGATACAAAGGGACTTAGATGAGAAAGATCCTAAAAAAATGCAAATATCTAACGGCTAAAAGCCATTGATATGTGTCAAGTTAAGCGGGACCCAGGTTGCATCTGGACTGGTGGCCCCCTACCAAGGCGCTCTCTAGAGAGCAGAGCTAAGTAAACAGGTAATAAAAAAAAGATTTGAGGGTATTTTTAGCATAAAGCCATAAACCACGTGTTATTTCCTCAATCTTCGATTGATAGCGCAAAATTACACGAACGACCTCCGTTATTTCCAACAATTACTGCAGAAAGTCGGTTGAAGCCCAGCCCAACGTCACTCCTCACACAAACAGAACTCCTAGGTAGAGAGGAGAGATATCAAACTCCTCCCATAGAGAGCGAAGAGCGCAACCCTTCGATTTTTTCCCTTAAAAACCTACTTTTGACCGTCTTGCAGGTTGGTTTGTTACTCTCTCTCTCTCTTCCTTGTTTTTTAATCCTTCTCTCTCTCTATTCTCTCTCTCCTTTTCACTCTTTTCTCTCTCTCCATCCCTTTCTCTCTCTAAAACACATTGATACCAAAAACACCCGAATCGAGTCTTGTTCATTCACTGTGTCTCTATTTCTATTTCTCCTTCACTCTCCCGCAGCGCCATGATTCCCGCCAACCTATTTCATCCGTTTGGCACTTTTTAAAACCCTAATCTTTAACCGTCTTTCCCATTTCATCACTCTAGGTAAGTCGTTCAAGCCCTCCAATGTTAAAATCGAATCGACATTCTCTTATTTTATTTTTCCTCATTTCGTAATCTCGCAATTATCCAACTTTCATGGCAGTTCGAGTGTAATTCTGATTTTTAGGGTTTGCGCGTTGATTTGGCAGTGTTTTGATTGTTTCTGTGGCCTGATCGGTGGATCTGTTTCTGATTTTTCTTTGGTTTTTGTTTTGGGTGCAGATAACAGAAGAAAGAAAAGGAGAAACGAGGGTCTGGATTTATGTCCCTCAATCAATCCAGGTCTGACAGGAGCGAGGCCCAGTTAAGGAAGCCTGGTCGATCCGGAAGCTCCGGTCAGCAGAGGAACTTCTCAAGTGGTGGTGGGAAGGGCGGCGGTGGGACCGCCCCTCCACCCTCTTCTTCGAGTAACTTATCTTCTTCGTTGTCTTCGAATCGAAGGTACTTAACCCTTTTATATTTTTTTTTCGTTATTTTCTAGTTATTCTTCGACATCTCTGTGGGTAATGATGATTTCGAGAGAATTGTATCGGAAGGTTAGGGCTTTTTTCCCCTTGTATTATCGATTGTGTGGTGTTGCCTGTATCCTCTATTAGTTTTAAGAAGTCTAGCAATGGACACGGAGGTCAATCTAGGGTGAGCGCGGGAAGTGCAAATTTAGAATCCAATGCTTCTGCTGACCGTCCAGTGCAGAATGGGGCCTGCGTACAACCCCCATTACATGGTATGTAGTTTTATCTGCGGCTCCCACTGCTGTACTTGTTTTGAGAATATTGAGAATATGGAAAGGAGATTCTTTACAAGAAAGAGAGAATTGGTGTTCATCTTTCTTTTCTTTTCTTTTTCAAATTTATGGATTCCGTTTTCCCTTTCCTAATGGGTTATAGGTGTGCAAGATGCACCAGTTTCAAGTGCTCCCTCGAAGTCTACTGACTCGTCTATTTCAAGAAGTACCCGAACTGCACCTGTGCCAAAGGTTCCATCATCTCAAACGGTGGCTTCTGGAGGTTCCGATTCAAATGCACCGAAAACACCTGCCAAAGGTACCTCTTGACTTCCCCTGTCTGTACCTTATCCTTGGATAATAAAAGTTCTTCTCTAGATCGTCCAAAGTCCACCTTTTTCTGTATGGCTCTGATTGCTTGTGCATCATCATAATTTCCTCGGTCCCCCAGTAGATTTTATTTGTGTTACTGCCGATTCAAATTCCAGTAGTTTCTTGTAGGAGACTAAATTTATGATGTTATTTTAAACTCAACACTGATTGTGTTTTGCATCGGCATTTCCCTGCAGATGTGTCTAGGACATTCCCCCTTCAATTTGGGTCCATAAGTCCTGGTTTTATGAATGGGATGCAGGTAAATTTCCTCTCTTTTGCATTTTATGCAACTTACTAATTCTTTCTTTCCTCTCCAATTTTCTTTTCCATATTGTTATTTTATCCTCATTCTAATCTTTATAAAGGAAAGAAAAATGACTTTTCTTTGTGCTTGCAGATACCTGCTCGAACAAGCTCAGCTCCCCCAAATTTGGATGAGCAGAAAAGAGACCAGGTTTGTGATGTCTGAAGAGGCCATGTGGTTATAACTTTCATATCAGGGATGCTTTATACCCCCCCCCCCCCCAACACAAAAAAAAAAAAAAAGATTTCTATCCAAACCTTAGTGCCCAGAACTGTCCATACATATCCTGGTTCAGTTTTGGTTCACTGATCATACAGACCCGAAACAGGATTGCAAGTGAACTATGATGCAAATATATTAAATGCAATTACATATTTATCAGTCATGATTCAGAGAAAAAGCCACACTTCAGATCTATTATGCACTTAATATTCTATCCACTTTTGCGTTCACACTCCCTATTGAAGTTCACTTATTCACCAAACAACCGATCTACTAAATACTCTCCCTCTTCTTTCTCTTTACATCATGCCAATATCTCACCCTTCTTTCTCCTCCGCCCACTCCTACCACATATCAACTACAAATGCACGGCTTAAAAACATTTGTCATTGTCTCATTATACACCAAAATAGTTGATGGTACAACTACTTCAATAAAATTTTAAATTGTCCAAATAGCTTAGAAAGCAATACCCAATAGTTGTTCTAATTCGTGGTTACACTTTTTTAGTTCATTTACATATTTAAATATGTATTTATACATGCACACGCATGCATTCATACTCAGCTTAACTAAACATTGTCCCAATCATGTGGGGTAGGCTAACATGAAACTTGTTTCATTCATTGCTATATTCATTATTAAACTATGAGCCCTCAAATCATTTTTCACTACTTTAACCCATCCCCTTTTGTCATGGCCTCCTTTCTTAAGGACGCGTCAACTTGCAATCTTTAACATGCAATGTATCACCCCTTCTGTGGTTTGGAGTATCAAAGATCAAATTGGTGATATAACTTATAATCTTTGAAGTTTGAACATGGCCATATTCAGTAACTCCTAGTATTTCCTATATTGGCAAGGTCAAAAACTGATACGCATATCATATGATACAGACATACAGTACAACAATGTTGCTAGATGTATTCATGTAGATGTATGATACAGACATCCTAGTATCATATCATATGATACAGACATATACGTAGTCTGTATGATACAGACAACCATGTGCAGAATTCATGTAGATGTATTCATGTAGATGTATGATACAGACATACGCGTATCATATTCATGTAGATGTATTCTTCACATGGCCAAATCATCCTAGTCTACTTTTCCTTGTTTTATCGCCTACCGGGGATACTCTTAGGTTCCTAGAAAGGTGTTCATTTCTGATCTATCCTTTTTGGTTTTCCCACTCATCCATCTCAATGTTTGCTTTTTTGCTCCWCTTGTATGGCTATTATCATAATACATATGCAAAATAGACTCCAATGATTTGCTCCAACTCCTGGTTCTTGTCATCAAGGTCCAAATAGATGATCATTTTTCTTTTGGTTCAATGGTAAATGATATGCCTGGAATTTACTGCATGGTGAGGAATTGTGGGTGGTAAACTATTGTAATTATGAAAAATTATAAAAAAAAAACTGTTGTAATTATGAATGTGAATATTGGGGGTGAAGGGACTCAAGTACTTTGCTAAAATCTCTGCAACATCTCTGCAAGTGTCTTACCATGTATATGAGAATAAATACCTTGTGAAAGAAACAGCTATGTGAAAGTTGGGTGTAATTTATGCTCTTTGAGGTGGAAGCAACCAACAAATGGTTTTTATTTGTTTTTTACATTTTAAGGCCCTAATAACTTGGTCATATTTGGAAAATCAAGTATAGCATTCCTGAAGCCATTATGTGAATCAAGAGATGCTAGCCATTGTTTGTCTGAGACTATAGTTCTTTAAAATGCAGGCACGGCATGATTCTTTTAGAGCTGCTCCTACGATGCCAATTCCTTCTGTTCCTAAGCAGCAAGCGAGGAAGGACGTGGGTAGCGYTGGCCAGTCAAAAGCTGGGGAGTCCCATCCCTCTTCCCAGATCAAAAGGGAAATGCATGCTCAGGTTCCATCTGCACCTGCTACCGTGGCAACACAGAAATCTTCTATTCTTCCCATGACTGGAATGTCTATGCCAATGCCATTTCAACAGCAACAAGTTCCTATACAATTTGGTGGACCCAATCAACAAATTCAGACACAGGGTTTGTCCACTACTTCATTGCAAATGCCAATGACCTTACCAGTTGGAAATGCCTCTCAAGTGCAACAACAGGTGTTTGTTCCAAGCCTTCAATCTCATCCATTGCAGCCTCAAGGGATAATGCATCAAGGCCAGAGCCTTGCTTTCACTCCTCCGATGGGTCATCAGCTAGCTCCTCCGTTGAGCAGTATGGGAATTGCGATTACCCCTCAATTCACACAACAGCAAGCTGGAAAATTTGGTAGTACTCGTAAAGCTGTTAAGATTACTAATCCTGTAACTCATGAGGAGTTGAGGCTTGATAAAAGGACAGATTCTTATTTAGATGGTGGGTCATCAGGCTCAAGGTCTCATCCTAATGTTACACCTCAATCCCAGCCCATTCCGTCTTTTAATCCTCCTCACCAAATAAACTACTATTCTGCAATGCCACCTAATTCTTACAATCCCATCTTCTTCCCTACTCAAACATCTCTTCCTCTATCAACTAGTCAGATGACTTCTGGTTCTCCAGGAACGAGATATAACTATACAGTTGGTCAGGGTCCACAAACTGTTTCATTTATGAACACTTCTGGTCTTAATTCTACTAAGATTTCCCCCCCGATGCAGAACACTACTGAACCAACAAAGTTGGAATATGCTCATGATACTGTTATATTAACATCGTCTGCTCCATCAGCTCCAGTTCCAGTGACAGTAAAGCCATCTTCTCGTCCACTTGGGGAAAAGGTTGGATCATCTTCAACTGTAGTTGGCAAAAGTGAAACACCAAAAATTTCCATTACTTCACCTGTTGTAGGAAAATCTGAATCATCAAAACCTTCGAGACTACCAATAGAAGCTAGGTCAGTTCATCCAGAAAGGGACTTAGATGGTAGTTTGGAGAACTCCATTCAGCAGGCAAAATCTCTTTCTGAAACATCGGGTTCTATTCCATTATATGGAGCAGGTAAACAGTCTTACTAATTCACTTGGTTCTGTTTCTGTGCAGAAACCACTTTCTTCTGCTACTGCTGCCTCTCCTGAGGAATCCTTGTCCACTATGACCAATACTGAAGGCAAAGGAAAAGAGACCATTAGAAGGTCAGACTCTATCAAGGACCATCAAAAGAGACAGAGCAAGAAAGACATGCGACATTCTCAACCCCAAAATCAGGTTTCATACTGTTATGTTCTTTGTGGTTTTTTGTAATTCTTCCTTTTTCTTTGTTGGTTTTGCTTTATTTACTTTTAGATGCTGGCTTAGGTGCAGGCAGATGCCTCTGATTTTGCTAGTATCTCAGAGTCCTCTTCATCAAGGATTTCTGGGGAAGTTTCCCAACACCCTAAGGATATTCAATCTCCTCCTTCAGAAGTTGGTGGATCATATTTGAGTTCTTCTTCTTTGCCATTAGATGACCGTAGTATTTTGAGGGATGGAGTTTCTGAAACTGTAGGAGGTAAAGTAGAAACTCAAACTTTATCAGAATCCTCTGGAGAATTATTAGACACAGTACGGGAACAGGTGCCTGATAGTTATGCAGGGAATGTTGATGCTTCTGAATCAATGATAAGTAGTGTTCGAATTGGTGAGGGATCATCCTATGAACCATTGGACACATCTGGTGTTGGCACTGAATTACCTGAAGTGACCAAACAAGGTAACAACAATTTTGAAACTCACGCAGGATATAGTTCTTCAGAATCCCTGGAAACAACTAAACAAACTGAGCAGAAGGGTTCCAGTTTGAAAGAAACAAATCTTGGTACTGAAATTGGGTCTAATACTGGGCAGGAGTTAAAGGAAGATTCATCAAAGTGTGTTTTGGAATCTGGTAGAACAACTGATAATTTAGTACAAACTTCAGCAACAACGTCTGATTCCATCAATGTTGAAACAACCACTACTAGTGTTGCCTCATCAACAGTTTCTCATGAAGATAGCTTTTCAACTTTGGATTCCTCTTCAACTAGAGGTGAACGTGTCAATCGTCAAGGTGATTCTGCAACAGATTCTGGTACATCCCACCTGGAACAAGCTCCTATTCCAACTCAAGTTTCCTCTGAAGTGACTGCAAAACTTGAACGAAAGGATATTGAGAATACAAATGGTGGCCCAGTTTATGCTGTAGTTTCAGGCTCCAAGGATAAACCTGTTATAGAATTGAATAGGGTCAAGAGTATTACTAAGGGGAAGAAAAAGAGAAGAGAGATTCTTAAGATAGCAGATGCTGCTGGGACAACTTCTGATCTCTACATGGCATATAAGGGTCCAGAAGAAAAGCAAGAAACTTCTGTTTCTTCAGAGACTGCAGACAGTACTCCCAGTGTTTATTTGAAGCAGGCACATGCAGGAGATGGCACTGAGAAGGATGCTATAGCACATGAAGAAGATGGACAAAGTAAAGCTGAACCAGATGATTGGGAAGATGCAGCGGACATATCCACACCCAAACTGAAAACCTCAGATAGTGGGAAGCTTGTTTGTGGTGGTTCAATGCATCAAGAGGAAGATGGAAATGATGTTATGGGAAAAAAGAAATATTCTAGAGATTTTCTATTGACATTTTCAGAGCAATGTAAAGATCTTCCTGTAGGTTTTGAAATTGGATCTGATGTAGCTGATGCTTTGTTGTGTGTTCCTGTTGGTACAGCCCACATTATTGATCGTGAGTCATATCAGGGTTTTGGAAGAATTATAGATAGGTCTTCTGGAGGACCGAAGCCTGATCGTCGTGGAAGTGTTATGGGAGATGATGACAAATGGAGCAAGTCACCTGGTCCTTTCTCATCAGGAAGAGACATGCGCTTGGATGTTGCTCCTGGAAGTGCTGCTGGAAATTTTCGACCAGGTCAAGGCGGCGTTCACGGTGTTTTAAGGAACCCACGTGGCCAACCTTCCCCTCAGTATGTTGGTGGAATTCTCTCCGGTCCAATGCAGTCTTTTGCACCTCAGGGAGGGATGCAACGTAACAGTCCTGATGCTGATAGGTGGCAGCGTGCAACTGGTATTCAAAAGGGTTTGATTCCTTCACCTCAGACTCCTTTACAGGTAATGCACAAAGCTCAGAAGAAGTATGAGGTGGGTAAAGTGTCCGATGAAGAAGACCGCAAGCATAGACAATTAAAAGCTATACTTAACAAGCTAACCCCCCAAAACTTTGAAAAGCTTTTTGAGCAAGTCAAAGAAGTTAATATTGACAATGCAGTCACACTTAGTGGTGTCATCTCACAGATCTTTGATAAGGCCCTCATGGAACCAACTTTCTGTGAAATGTATGCAAACTTCTGTTATCATCTTGCTGGTGAGTTGCCTGATTTCAGTGAGGACAATGAAAAGATCACCTTTAAGAGATTGCTTCTTAACAAGTGCCAAGAGGAATTTGAGAGAGGGGAAAGGGAACAGGCAGAAGCTGATAAAGTTGGGGAAGGTAATGCTAAACTATCTGAAGAGGAGAGGGAGGAGAAAAGGATTCAGGCACGAAGACGGATGCTTGGTAATATAAGATTGATTGGAGAGTTGTATAAGAAGAAGATGTTGACTGAGAGAATAATGCATGAGTGCATCAAGAAATTACTTGGTCAACATCAGAATCCTGATGAGGAAGATGTTGAAGCTTTATGCAAACTAATGAGCACAATTGGGGAAATGATAGATCATGCTAAGGCCAAGGAACATATGGATGCATATTTTGACATGATGATACAGCTGTCAAACAACATGAAGCTATCGTCTAGAGTGAGATTCATGTTGAAGGATGCGATTGATCTGAGGAAGAACAAATGGCAACAGAGGAGAAAAGTTGAGGGACCAAAGAAGATTGAGGAAGTGCACAGGGATGCAGCCCAAGAAAGACATGCACAATCTAGTAGACTTGCTCGTGGTGGTTCAGGAATTAGTTCTTCAGGAAGAAGGGGGCAACCCATGGATTTTGGCCCACGAGGGTCAACCTTGTCTCCAAATGCTCAAATGGGTGGTTTCCGAGCATTGCCAGTTCAGAATCGTGGATATGGTGCCCAAGATGTTCGGTCGGAGGATAAGCATCCATATGAAAGCAGGACATTGTCAGTTCCTTTGTCACAAAGGCAGATGGATGATGACTCTATCACTCTTGGTCCCCAAGGTGGTCTTGCAAGGGTTATGTCTATCAGAGGACAGCCACTGATTTCCAGTGTTCCAGTGCCTGATATTCTTCCTAGTTCTGGTGACTCCAGAAGAACGGCAGCTGGTCCAAATGGTTATGGTCCTGTATCTGAGTGGACAAATTATAATTTGAGGGAGGAACTCATGCCAAGATACATTTCAGACAGGTTCATGGGACCACCTGCTTATGACCAAACAAGTTCACAAGAACGCAATGCATATTCAGGGAATCGGGAGTTAAGACCACTGGAGCGTTCATTTGATAGATCTGCAGCACCTGCCACACAAATGTCAGCATCTTCTGCTGGCTCACAAGCTTCAGAAAAAGTGTGGCCTGAAGAACGTCTTCGAGACATGTCCATTGCAGCAATTAGAGAGTTTTACAGGTATCCTCATGTCTTAACATCTGTTTTGGATTATCCTGTCATTTATCCTGCTGCCTTGGTTTCATTGCTTCAACCATGTAGACTTTGGTGTTTCTATTGGGTAGGTTCACACTGTATAAATATTAAAAAACTTATGGGGGTGACTATTAGGAAGGGGTTGCCTCTTTTCAGCCCCAACCTATATAAAAGGTGTTTTCGAAACTTTGGGAGGACCATCCCCTATTCACCCCAGCTCTACCCTTTCTTCCCTACTTGTCACTTGATGAAGGAATTTTGTTTATATCATTTCCCTGTGATGGGTGCAGCTTTTTTTTTTCTATTATTCTGATTCTTTATGTTGATTTAGAAAAAAGTTATCCTCTTATTCATATTTGCCTCATTTTTCACTAAGTAAGACCATTGGCTGGACCGGGCCGGGCCCGGTCCAGGTATGTAAGATATTCATGTGTGTGTGTGTGTATGTGTATATATACACACATGTATTTTTTGGGTAATATCACAAAAAATCCTTGGGTCCCCTTTACTCTAAATAGTCAAAAGTACCACAAGAGGAGCAATTTCTTTTCTGAGACCCTACAACTGTCAGCTCTTGAGTAAATCTTCCACTGATTCCGGGTTATAGCCAATCACTCCAAGAATGCCTTTCACCCTAGTGTTTTAAAAGCGCAAGGTGCAGGGGTCAATTTGTGCCTGAGGCACAAGGTGAGGCGTGCGCCTTTTTAAGCAAGGCATAAAAATTAATAAAAAAGGCTAAAAATAAAAAAGCCAAAACAAATTAAAAAAATTATTAAACATAATATTAATAAAAATATAATCTTTAATTTTAAAATAAATGTTTTAAAAAACCTATTATCTAATATTAAAATACATAAATATAACATGTAAAGCATATTCAAATGAGAATTTAAAAATAAAATAWAAAATATAAAATCAAGCATATAAAACCCACAATCTCTTTTTTTTCTCGATTGCCCTACTTCAAGTAGCTAATCTGATGTAAAACATATTACATTCCTGACTCTACGAGTTGCCTTTGTACCACGCCCCTCGAGGCAAGCCCAAACAAGTTCACGTTAGGTCTTAAATTCTTAGTTCTCACACAAAAAATAATGATTTTATTGCTTTCTCACCGAAGCTTTAAGAACCCCCTATTTGGTAATTCTATTCATTTATTCATCGCAAAAAGTTCAAAGTTTCAAAAGGTGCACGCCTGGACTGAGGCGCAAGGCACACCAAGCGCACACCTAGGTGCACCAGGCGTGCGCCTTTTGAAAGGGCTGCGCGTAGGACCTGGGCGAGGCGCCTACCCTAAAATGCGCCTCGCTTGTGCACCTAGACGTGCCTTTTAAAACACTAGTTTCACCCACATCCACAAGATGGAAGAGTTTGCAATAGATGAACCAGTGATTTAAAGGCCGCCAGAAGCAGAACCCCGTATTTCTTCTAGAGAATCTCCTAATTGTTCCAGAGCAACTAGAAAGAGATTCTTTAACCAGAAAGAATTCAGTTCAGATGTAGGATACCTATCCAGAAGTTTTCGTAACTCCATCATGTATGATGGAATCATCAAAGATTTGATCTTTTCGAACTCTGTCTGTAACTCACTAGAGGCTCGGGAAACAAAGAGAAGATGTGTACGAACGAGATATCCAGCAACAAGAAGAAGGAAAAGGATTGAATAGAGGAACTCCCGAGCATTTGGTGATCTCAGATGTGTCCATATCAATGGAACCTAAGGCTTGCGTGGCGCATTTTAGGGTAGGTGCCTCACCCAGGTCCTAGGCGCAACACTTTCAAAAGGTGCACGCTTAGTGTGCCTAGGCATGCGCCTCAATTTGCTAATGTTGTTCATTCATTCATCTTAATAAAATATCCTTTTAGAAGGCAATTAAAATTATAAAATCATTATTTTTTGTGTAAAAATTAAGAATTTAAGACCCTAACATGGACTTGTTTGGGCTTGCCTCAAGGGGCGTGGCACAAAGGCGTCTCGTAGAATAGGGAATGTAATATGTTTTACATCACATTAGCTACTTGAAGTAATGCAATTGAGAAAAAAAAGAGATTGCGGGTTTTAAATGCTTGAAAATGTTTTATATGTTTGATTTTATTTTTAAATTTTCATTTGAATACGCTCTACATGTTATGTTTATGTATTTTAATTTTAGATAATAGGTTTTTAAAACATTTATTTTAAAATTTAAGTTTAAATTTTTTATTAATATTATGCTTAATATTTTTTGAATTTTCTGACTTTTTTTTTTTATTTTTGCACCTTGCTTCAAAAAGGCACACGTCTCGCCTTGTGCCTTGCCTCGGGTGCAAATTGACCCCTGTGCCTTTTTTGCACCTTGCGCTTTTAAAACACTGAGATGAACAAGTGATTTGCATTCTCTGTGGCCTCAATACACAAAGAATCAGGTGTCCCTTTGCTGCTCCACTCCCCTCCTAATCAGATTTCCTTTAAAGGACTCTTTCAGTCATTCAGGAGCCTTCTAAACAAAGGCCTCTGAAGAGCTCTGTCATCGATTCATAATTATCGTTAACAAGTCCATTGCTGTCCTTGTATATGTTGTATAGCTAAGGAAAATTTCCATTAATGAACTGTTATCATTGCTGAATATCAATCCAGAATCTGACCCTATTGCCTTAACCCGATGCTGAACTTAATCCCTTTTGAAAATTCTTTGTTAGCTTTTCCATTACCTTTCCATATAGGTTTCTTTGTTCATATTTATTTTTTCATTTTACAATTTATGATCTACTACTACCCACTCAAGTTATTCAAAAACTTGATGCCCCATCTTATCAAGAACAATAAGATGAAATAGGTCAGAAAGGAAAGCAAGTAGCAAGTTCACCAATAAATATGTGAGCAGAGATTGACAAGATCCTTTGGAAAGTTATTTCTCATTTAAATGGATGAACTTGGCCTTTATTGTTTAGCAAGTTCGCTTGGGTGTTGCACCTAAGCTACACGATGGCAATTGCCCTTGCTAAACTTACACACTGCCATGTTGCATTGCTGCTGCCTCTAAACCCATCCCACTACTGTTTTTGAATTGCCTTTCACGACCAAATTTCTGAAATTAGATGCTTTCTCAAGCCTAAAGCCCATGCAAAATAATAGCTTGTAATTCTTTAATAACATTCCAATGACCTACCTGAAAACATTGCTAGTTATAACAGCTACTCATCTTTTCTAAACACCCCTCTATACATAATTGCTCTGGATCCCTATACTGCATTCAGAACAAGGTGGTTTTCTCCTAATGACATTTCCATGACCTATTTGTCCTGAACAATTGACTTGCCATCTGTCCTAATGACATTCAGAACCACCTATCCTAATGACAATTGGTTGCCATGGAATTGAGATACCACTTTGTGAAATGGGGGCAGCCATGTCCAAATGACATTCAGAACCACCTATTTTTTGTTCTGCAATGAATATTTTGAAAGGTTTTGCAAGTTTTGTTCAAGTTGTACATATACAGAAAGAGAACAGCATGTTTTAGGTATACCCTTTGTGAGTAATAGATTCTTCTATTGCCGTTGCAATTTATATGCTATAAGTATACTGGTTTTTGTTTTCAGTGCCAAGGATGAGAAAGAGGTGGCTTTATGCATCAAGGACCTGAATGCCCCAAGCTTCTATCCATCAATGATTTCAATCTGGGTTACAGATTCTTTTGAGAGAAAAGATATGGAGAGGGATCTTTTAGCCAAGCTTCTGGTGAACCTCACCAAGCCTCGGGACGGCTTATTGACTCAACTTCAACTAATCAGAGGGTAAAGTCCCATATTTGATAGTGATAAACCAATAATTGGTTAACTTGGCCTCTTCCAAAACTTGAATATCCCCCATCTTATTGGTGTTTGATTTTGTATAAATCAGGTTCGAATCTGTTCTGGCAACCCTGGAGGACTACATTACGGATGCCCCAAAAGCAGCTGAGTTTCTTGGTCGCATCCTTGCCAAAGCGATCTTAGAGAACGTAATTCCGTTGAGAGAGGTTGGACGGCTAATACATGAAGGCGGAGAAGAACCAGGGCGCCTTCTGGAGATTGGTCTTGCGTCAGAGGTTCTTGGCTGCACCCTTGAGATAATGAAAGTAGAGAAAGGAGAGTCGATCTTGAATGAGATCCGATCCAATTTACGGTTAGAGGATTTTCGACCCCCAGATCCAAAAAAATTAAGTAAAAAGTTGGATGCATTTCTTTAGAGGAGGACGGTGACGACGGTACCAACCATTGTAAAAATGGCAAGAAGAAATCCATGTCTAGGCTCTAGGGGCCTTCTGGGTTTTGCTCGGGGGTATATATTTGGATCAATTCTTCGCCATGGCCTATTATTATTATTATTTTTCTTCAATAGTTCTCTTAAATGGCCAAGGTCCAATTGAGCATACAAAATGGTGGCAGGTGGCGTGGCTTTACTTCACATATATAGTTTTCTTTTCTTTTCTTAAACCAACCAATAGATTATAGAATACACTAGCACCTTGACGACTGCTGCATTTTTGCTTACGCAAGTATGCCATTTGGGTTTTGAGAGATACGTTGTCTTTCTACAAGACGCCTGCCTATCCAATTTCAACCTACCTACCTGAGAATTCCGATGTAATCTTGGTAGTTTGTCTTTGTCAAGCAACACAACTCAGGATAGCCAACACCAACGATTACTGATTACTTACCAAGGATCAAACCCGTGTCGAGAGTATTGACATGGAGGGGCTCCATCTCACAGTCTGTTAAAGCAACAATAAACAAATAAATAGTGTTCTTTTTTTTTTCAAACATCAGCATTCATTGATGATAAAAAAATATTTACATGATTTTGAGCATTTGAGTTATACGTGATAGTGACTGGGCCAACTTGTTTCACTGCCTATTAATGAGTAACTTTGTTGATGCCCATGGTCACTGTATCGGATCGAATGCAATTAAAACAAAAAAAAAAAGGGATTTTTGGACTGCAATCCCCCTCAGAAATTCTTCTCCTATAAACCACATCCTAAAATTTTGTTTTATACGATTGGATTGCTCCATTGCGACTTGGTGATTGGGGTTCAAGTCTTGGAAACAGCCTTTTTATATTTACAGGGGTAAGGCTGCTTTTATCTGTCTTTCCTTAGGCCCCACATTGGCAGGAGACCAGTGTAGGGGTGTCAATGGACCGGTTTCGGGTTGGACACCGTCCGAATCGGAAGTGATACGGACGGACTAAATGGTCTTAAAAATGATATGGACGCGGACCGGTCCGAATATGAATAGTCTATGTATAATACGGACCGAATATAGACAAAACCTTTGAATCAAATGGCTGTTCATTCGTTTGAAGTTCCAAATTTTCTTCGAAGACCTAGCACTCTACGCCAGTACACCTTCATCGCTCCCTCCGGCAATCGAACGAAGAAGAAGGTTTCTCTCCGGCGGTGGTATTCCTTGAACTCYGACAGTACTTCTGGCGGTGGTTTCTCTCCGGTGGTCAGGTTACGTCTAGAGTCTAAACCTTAACCAGATTCCATATGTATTTGGTTATTGCTCAAGGTGCTGTAAAAGAAATTTGCTACTTGGTCAGAAATCCACCAAACTTATCAAAGAAAGTTTCTTACATATATTGGAAGAAAACCAACTTCAAACAATTTTTGTTATCAAAAAATGAAACAAAAGCTACAATGCAGTAATAAATCAAAACAAAACATGAGGGTTTATGTTTTTCAACCTCAGAGTTGTAGATTATTTTATTGGGATATTTGATGAAATCTGTATTCACTCAATGGAATCAATAAATATTTCAGTTATAGGTATCGAATCGAAATGATGCTAAGGGAACCTTTGTAGATGGAAATCATCATTCTTTGATTGGTTCCAAATGTCTGTACAATAAACACTTATTAAGGAGTTGAAGATGTACCTCATAACCCCACCATGTGAGCTGCATGTCATATGGGAAATTGTGGCCTTGTGGGTCCACCATCCACACAACATTTGATATGGGCACACCTTCCCTCATTACACCACTGCTCATTTTGCTGGACCAATTAAACAGTGTATTTATTCTATTTATAGAATGCATTGTAATGTAATTTGCCTTTGGGTTTTCCCTTTCAATTTATGTTTTTATTGACTTATAAAATCTTTCACATTGTCAGAATATTGTAGCAACCATCATGTCAGAAGATTATCAACACAAAAAGGTATTTCTATGCAACCCCCACTTCTTGACTATTAAATTATTTATTGAATTCGATTTTTCCTGGCCCTTCATTCAGAACAGATGTCAAAGCAACCCCACGTTTCATATCTCATAGACGTGAAGCATGAATCTCTGCATCTTCTCTTTCTCAAGGCCCATTGATCCCTCCCCCATTCCCCATGAAATCAGAAAGCAACAGCACAAACTCATCAGTCCCACTCACAACCGGCTCACAATGAATGAGTTTTCCACAGCCGAAGTTGAAATCATGGAAAGGCAGTTTCCAACAAGCTGATAAATAGAAATTTCCATTTATGGTTGCAGGAACCCCTTTATGGATCTCTAACCAGTCTATCACTGACCTCACTTAGTCATCTGACACTCTGTATATTGCTGCTCCACACAGAAGGAGAATGACTTCTCAGCTAGATCCACCACCTTTGCAATGGCAAAAGCTGTGACAACAACATTTCCTGTGACCCATATGGTAAAGGGGGAGATATCTTGGACCTTATGTCCACTACAAACAGAATGGTCGAAGTCTCATCTGGGTCATCAAACACTGCTTTGGATCTTGCTCTCCATAGGTGAGCTACAATGGACTCAAAGTTTGAACACTTGGCCATGGCCTTGCCTTTGAGGATGCTGAGCATGCTAGAGGTAAAACAGAGGAACTTGTGATTGTACTTGTTGGAGAACTGTAACAGTCGGGTGCGTTGGTTGGGCGAGGAGAACGAGGAAGTTACTGAAGCTATCTCTAACTTCTCTGTGTACTCAGTATGTGGGTATTTGATCTGAGGTGGATTTCTTGCTTTCAGGCATGTCCTGTCATTGTAGTGGCTTGGGTATTCAGGCCTTCCCTGCTGCAAATGGATGTTTTTGCTTTTGTGGTGATATCTTTCACTCAAAACTGATGGACTTGTGAATGGCTAGATTAATTGTCTTAAAACTGTTTAGTAACTGTACATATGCATTGACAACATTTTCTTTATTTTCTGAGAAATTAGGAAAAATCTATTCTTTATTGAGTATTATTTTCTAAGGAAAACATTTTGTTTTTCTTCATTATTTTAATTGCAACTAAAATATTTTCTAGGGAAAATGTTTTCTGAGGAAAACATTTAATTTGGACCCGATTGGGTCCAATCCGGTCCATTTGCATTTCAATTGGACCGGAATGGATCCGGTTTGTATGAGATATGGACCGGATTTGGTCCAGTCCATTTGTAAATGGACCAATATTGGACTGGACCAGATTGGACCAAATCCAGTCCAATTGACACCCCTAGCCCCGTGCACTTGGGCTACCCTTTGTGTTATAATATACTAAACATGTGTTAAATTATGCTTCATTGTGACCTTGGTGATCAGGATTCAAATCCTGGAAATAGAAACAGCCTCTGTATGTGCAGGGGTAAAGTTGCATACATTTGTCCCTCCCTAGACCCCGTATTGGTCGAAGCCTTTGCACTAGGCTGCTCTATATATGTATTATTGTTTTTTTTTTTTTTTTTTTTTTTTGACGCCTTGTACGAACTTCCCTTTTTTTTTTTTTTTGCATTTTAAGTATAACAAGGCAGATGCTGATCAAATCCAAATCTAATTCGAGTATGTCATCAAATTTTGAACGTGGACGGATTGAATGTGGATGTATTTGTATCCGGTCTGATTACAGCTTTGGTGTTGTAGTTCAAACACTCCCTTAATCTAGTGTTAATTGAAGGTCAATTCTGAAAGGATTGTGTTGGATAGCTGACCGTTTGGTTCCTCTTTAATTTGAAACTAGTTAGTTAGATAGATAGCTACGTCTTTGAAAATAGAGATAGATAGATAAGCACTAGCAGAACTTGTGCATGTGCACGAATGCACAAGTAAATATAAGGAAATATATAAGAGCAGGCTTCCGGGGWGAGAGAAAGTAGGAGACACAGGAGACAGAAGATTAAGGAAAAAATGGTTTTTGGAGTGGAAGAGAGCAGGTACGAATTCTAAGAATTGGAAGCAAGTTAGGAGAGATGACCATAGTGACTAGTGACTGGTCATTTGTCAAGGGAAGAAAAGATAAAAAGAGAATTGAAAATATGGAGAGGGAAGGAAAACACACACAATCTACATGTGAGCTAAATTTTACAATTGTTTTAGAAAAAATATTAAAAACCATAGTAAGAGCAGGGTAATGTCTCCATGAGGCTGAACTGTTTTGCTGCTGGGTTCTGACTGTCCGGTGATCAACAGGTCAATGGTTCAACTGCCCGGTTTGGATGGTTTTTGACCAGATCAACGGTTTTTACCAGACTCAGGGTTTTAGAAAAGGTTCAAATGGTTCAATTGTCTGGATCAACAGTGGCTTGAAAACATTAGTACGGATATATCATATTATTTGACAAGGTTATTTTTTAAGTGAGCCAATATATTAACTTGTTGAGAACCAACTCATAAACATATTATCTAGTTGTTAGGGATCTGACATGGACCAGTTTTTTCATTCCATTTTGCACTAGAAATGACCAGTCATTGAGGAAAAAATTCCACAATACATGGCATGTTTAATGTAATGGTTGAGGGTTGAGTAGAAAGTTGAATTATAGTGGGAAAAGTCCTCTTCTTTGTATAGATGTGACAGTCTGAAAGAAAAAAGAGGGATCTTCCAATATTTAGACATTACAAGTTTCACAGAACAATGTAATACAATTTGGAATCAGAACTCTGTAGGTCATGAGAGAGAGAGAGTATGGGTCATAAGGAGAAAGGTTTGTTATACACATCAAATTGATTGCTGGCTGTTAACTGCGGCTCCTGTAACAAATGAAAAACAAAAGGCCTATAAATCAATTTGTAACAAGAAAAATCACCCCATTGTGCAATTGTTTGTGTGTGAAGCAAGCTCATGTTCACATGATGCCTAATTCTAGGTCAGTATCAATGTGGTAATTAACAAGCTTTTTGGTGGTGGGAACTGATACCTGTCTCACCCTGCCATTGAGACTGCTTCCTGTGAGAAAATTCGAGAGAAATGTTATTCGACCACCACCACCATCCTTACCCATATCATCAATGGTACTCCTAATTGAATTTAGTATGCTCCCATATGTATTACGGTGTCCGCACTCAATTGCTTGAATGAAACCATAAGTCATGGCACCCGTATAAGTAGTTTTTGATAGAACCTGTTCATTTGAAACATTAGCTTTAATTGATTGTTTGGTCAATTAGATAACAATGGAACTGGGAGTAAAATAGGGGGGAAATGCCTAATTGGAGATTGTTCCATTTACCATAGTGTCAATAGATTTTTGGTAATCATCACAAGAACTAAAGCAGATTGCTTCTCCACCACTTGTACCTTTCCACACTCCTGATGGAGGATTATGATCTTCCCACCTATACCTCCCACTCCTGCACTAATAAAGGAAATATAATTAGTAGGTAGGATTGAGTGAACATTGGAATGTTGCGTCCATGTTTACAAACCCAGCCATCAACCAAAACTAGTAAGCAAAGAAATACTGACTTGTCCATTCTGCAGAAATATGGCAAATCTAGTGCAGTTCCACTATGGCAAGCATCTATTATTGCATGCAGCTTCACCCCATGAAGAAGCGGTCTGACAATCAATGCATTTAGTTCATCATCAACAATCATTCCTTCACTAAAATAATCTAGAGGACAAAGGCATTCATCATAGCCATCAACTTCGTCTCCATTATTGTTCACCAGCTGTAAGCCATGGCCAGAAAAATGGAATACCAGAGAATCTCCGGGTTGACAATCTTGTACTAGCCAATGCAATCCCATCATCATGTTTCGTTTGGTTGGAATTTTGTATGACTCAGTTGCATCTTCTGCAGGTCAGATTCCAGAAAATTGTTAAGGTTGTGAGTAGGAAGCATATAAGAAGATCCATACACCAATAGGAAATTTAGCACAATTTCATTCTTCATAAGCAAAATAAACTTAAAAGGGAAGTAATGCAACAAGGAAGATCTTCTTACCCTCTAATCATCCTTGAAAGAAAATTCCTAGAAGGGAAAACAGATTGTCACAAAAAAAAAACAGTTATGTAAATGAAGATAATAAAATTTTCTGTGTATGTGTTTGTATGTATGTATTCTTCATATTAAAAAAAAAACACTAGAAAAAGGTTGGGTTGATTAATTAGTATTATACAAATTAACCTCCATGAAGGGAAATCAGCAGAGTGATCTCTATGCTAGGGAGTCTAATCAAGACAATATGCCAAGCATGCATTGATATTATGCCATGATTTTCCCACTTATCAGTATGTGATAACTCCCAAGAGAATGCAACACTGTAGATCTGGAAGCCCAAAGGAATAGTTTCACCTCTTGAAATGTAGGGTACCAACCATGGAGGAGTCTCTGAAATAGATTGTGGTAAGAAAAAAAATGGACAACTCTTTTGAGTGAAAATAGGGCAAGATATATTAATCACCGGAGATGTGCCGGTTCATGGATTTTGAAGTTGAAGCCAAAATTTAATTGATCTACCATTTTATAACTTGGCTCAGAGAAGGTTTGAAAGAAACAAATAAACTGGTAGAATTAGAGCCTAAACAAAACAAAACACAAATTTCCAATATACAACATTTTATCATGATCACAAAAGAACACTATCCTGGTAAGATGGTCCAGAAATATTAAAGGTAGAGGCATTTCTCCAACCTAACAGAGACAGAACTTCATACAAGACACTTAAATTTGAATTGATCCCATATATGGTGCATTTCTCAATAATAAAGAGTTCATTATTTAATCAGGGAGGACAAGTATGATAGCTTAATCTAGTTTGTCATCTACATTGTTTTCACTTTTGAAGCAGTTTTGGGCTTCCATCATCTCTTTATCTGGTAACACATGGTTCCTTGGTTACAAGTCATAGTCTACATTTGAATCCAACATTTGTATTCTCAATCATCAATATGAAATTCAACCATAAGAATTTTGATTTAATTATATTTAAAAATGACAGGTTCAATCCTTATGTGTAGGGGATGGTACCCTTGATTATTTCTATTAATATATTACACATAACACAAATATATTTATCAATGACGAATCCAACCCTTGAATACAGGGGATGGTATCCTTTATTTTTTCTTTTAATATATATACTCACTACTTTTAAATGAAAGAAGAGTTAAAATCAAATGCCTGTTAATTGAGACATTGTCCTAACCAGCTAAAGAATGTGGCTCCAGATTAACTGTGTTTGAAGCACAGCTAAGTAGGAAGCTTGGGGTCTTGGACAACCTTGTGGATGCTAATACGAGAAATGGCATAACTTCAATTAGAAACTCTCTTAGGGAGTAGGTTAATGAGAGCACAAGATGCCTTTGTAACTGAATACCAAAGAAAAAAATGAAAAAAGAAAAGAGATCACAAAGAGCAGACCAGTGATATGAACTGCATTGCAGCAGTAGATATATCATATATGGACTAGAAACAAGAATCAACTCAATTTTGAGCCTTGCCTGTGAGCATGAGGATGGAGGATTCCGGGAAGCCGAATTCTTTCAYGAGGAGGTGGCGCATGCATTGGGCGTCGTTGATGGGGCCAAGAAGCTGTTGCTGGGTGTTGCGATACGAAATGCCACATACGACCGCTTTCTTGGGGATGTGGAGAGACGGAGGAGGAAGGGGCGGAGGGACGCCGCCGTAGGGTGGAGGAGGCGGGTAAGGGGGGATGTAATGGTAATTATGGTAATGCGGAGGAGAAAGGCAAAAGGGGTGGAGGGTGCTGGTGATGGCTCCGCATATGGTGCATTGAATCATGTTGGCGACCGGCGGGAGCTGCAGTGCCGCCCGGCAGTTGGAACACTGGACGAGCATAACATACATCGTATAAGAAACAGAGAGTGAACAGTGGCGAGTTTGGAAACAAAGCTTTGATAAACCAGGGAGAAAAGCACAGAAACAGACGCAAAGAAAAGGAAGAACAAGGCTGAAATCCTGTTCTCTGCAGAATGTTCTGAGATGTGTTTTTTGGTTGTAGAACAGTACTAGAAGAAGAGTAAACGCGTGAACTGATGCGTGATTGTTATTGACTTCGGCACTGAGTCGTCGGGGAGGGAAGTTTCCGGGAGATAGAAGTTACGACCGTTTCTTTTTTTCGTTTTGGGTAGTTAACAAACACTTAACAGGGTTACAGGGGACTCACTTGAGTAAAAAAAATTTACAGGACACAGAGAAGTTTTCTTTCTGGCTAGTTATCATAGAGAAACATAACAGGGGGGATCCACAGTAATTCCCAGTTGATCAATCTCTGAATCCGTACGTCGCCGCTGGCTCGTTCCAGCCCAATAGTAAACTCCCCGCGCGAGACGGCGAGAATCGAGACTATGGCCTATGGGTGCAAACCGGGCAGACTGGGTCGGGTTTTAGCTAAACCCAGGCCCAACCCCAACCCAAGAGGCTAAAGCCTGGGCTTGGCCTAGGCATGAGGTTAAGGCTTAAGTTAACTATCCAATGCAAGCCCGGTCTGTGTTAAAATTTGATGCACTCGGATTGGGATTGGAACTGCGTCGGGTTCGGATTGGTCAATCATTTTACATTAAAAGTTGATATATATATATATATATATATATAATTGTGCTGACCTTGGGTTGGGCTAAAACTATCTAAAGACTAGGCCTGAGCTTAATCCGAAAAATTAAAAAGCTTGAATTTGGAARCTAGACCTAATCCCAGGGCTCAGGTTGGACCCGCCTAAATTACCCCTACTCAAAACAGGATTATTTGGAAGCATGGATACCCAATCGCACTTCAAGAACATCTCTCCATGAATATAACTAGAACTGTCCAAAATTCAACCCTACCTGTGAGCCCAACCCAAAAAAGTGGGATAGGGTCTCCTATCTTAGTGACCCGAACTAGAAGGTGACCCAAACTGACCTTAACTGAAAAGGAGCCAGTGGGGGTGAATTGGGCCCCGGTTACCATCCGGTCATCTATTTTAAAGCCAACGCTTTCAAATTGATGTTGACTCGAATAATTGAATCATTCAAACCATTTGAGTTGAATGTTAAACCTATATATATATATATATATATATATATATATTATAAGCATTGACTTGGTCAAAGTCTAATTGACATAGGTGGTTGAACCATTGAACCATATGACCCATGGGTCAACTCTTACCTAGTGTAACGGACTAGCCTTTGCCTACCTGAAAGCTGACCCGACCAAAAGCAAACCCAAAAAATGTCTTCACCTGACTCAAAGCAGATTGGAACAGGATTTTGTTGGGAGGAGATTTGGAAGTTGTTGCTTGTGAGAGTTCTGATTGGTTGGAGACAAAATCACAATCTATCATGAGTGAACACATTAGTGTCCCATACACATGGGACCCATTTTTCCTGATGTATGCGCAGCTGTATTGCCTTGTGGGTATGTGTGGGTAGCAGATTCGAGCTTCTTTTCAATATGGCACGGAAGCCAAATCTTGTTTTTTATGAGTAATTTTTTTAATAGAAGTGGAAAGTAGACCYGGCAAAAAGTTGACTCAATCCGACCCAATCCAACCTGAGAAAACAGGGTTAGGGTCTCATATTTAGCTATCCAAATCTGAAAATGACCGACCCGACCTAACTCGAAAAAAACTGGGTTGGGTCATGGGTCAACCTACTGACCCGATTGTCAAGTCTAATTGGGATTATTTATGCATTGTTAGAAGTTTCCACTCTTTAATTTTTTCTATTTAGTTTTTATTTTTTATTGTTTACTCTTTAAATTGTTAAATGTTCAAGGTTTTTATTTTATATTTTATATTTGGAATTTTAAGGTTAATTCTTTTAATTTTGACATTTTTCATGTAATTTTTCTTATTTTTTTTTTAATTTCAATTGTTTTTTGGAATGACTCGAATTGACCCATGGGTCAACCCTAACCCGAACATTTAGGGTTAGGGTCTAGCATTTGATAACCCAACCCGAAATTCAACCCGATCCGAAGTACATTGACCCAACCCGAACCCGACCCACCCAACCCAATTGCCAGGTCTAAGCTATCCGAACCGAACTACTTTTATTTGGGAGTAGGGATGGCAATTTTCTCCATTTCCCCAATTCTCGTGGGGATTCACCCTGAATGGGGTAAGGATGGGGATGATTTTCCCCCTGCGGGGACGAGGATGGGGAAATTTTCGTCACCGTTAGCGGGAACGGGGCGGGGATGGGGAGAGCACTCCTCGCCCTGCGGGGACCCCAATCCCCGCTTCATGGGATCCCCACTAATATATATGTATATGTATGCATACGTTATATATGTAAATATGTAAACATACATCTATGTGTTAATATTTTTAAAAATATGGTTGAATGTTTTTTAATACGATTGTAAATGTTAATTATTTTATTTTTATTTTTTGAAATAAAATAAAAAACAAAAACAAAATGGTTAGCATTATAAAGAATCACGGGGAATAGGGATCCCTGTGGGGATAGGGATCCCCGTGGGGATGGGGAGAGGCTACCCGTCCCCGCCCCCACCCCGCCCCGTTGCCATTCCTATTTGGGAGTTCAATTCTTCTATAGACAGTTTTGTTGTAATCCTTAATATGAAATTTATTTAATTTTTTAATAAAAGTTCTTGTATCAATACTTTTTTCTTATTTTCATTTCTTTGTTAGGTCTGTTTGGTTCACAGGAATAGAGGTATTGATATAATTCATTCGGATTTCAACTATTTGGTTGGATGGAATCGGAGTCTCATTACCATTATTGTTGGAATGACATTCCCCTCTTTGAGGGAATAGGGGTTTGGAATCAAAATTGGTATGGACCATTCGGATTTCAACTATTTGGTTGGATAGTATCGAAATTTCATTACCATTCCCGTTGGAATGGCATTCCCCCTTTGAGGGAATAGGGGTTTGGAATCAGAATTGGTAAGGTCCATTTGGATTTTTACTGTTTGGTTGAATGGAATCGGAGTCTCATTACCGTTCCTATTGGAATGGCCATTTCCTTCCCCTCCCTTGGGAATAAAAATAAAAAAAGGTGGTTAAATAGACCATTCCAATTCCAATTCCTTCCAATTTCAATTGCAACCAAACGAACCCTAAGATCACATGCATATTTTCCATATATGTCGCTTGGCCCAAAGATATGGGTATGCCATAATTTTTAGAAAATCAATATAATTAATATTTAAATATATAAATTTTAATAATCAATTGTTTTAACATTTAATGACAAATAACGACATGGATATCATTAGAGTATTAATCTATATCTTCGATACAAGCAGAATAAAGATCAATTTTGGCCATTCCATCCATGCCATAAATCAAAAACGATGAAAATCGACTGATACATGTCAATACTTTAAATATTGGTTCACAGGGGAAGAAATGTCAAAAATACAATGCAGGATGGTTTTCAGCCCGTTACAATCATTTGAGTTTACTGTTTTAGTGGTTTTGTGATTCATTTTTCTTTTATGATGTGTTTGGTTTGAAGGAAAAGGTAGGAAAATGAAGGGATATCTGTACAAACCTTGTATAGATTTCCCTACCTTTTCCAACAATGTCACGTTCGGTTTGATGCTAATTTGTTTCGTTTGAAGTGATGGTGCAGTTATTTAGATAAATTAAACTTCCATAAATGATGAAACCCCAGTCGATCTTACATTACTTGCATGAATCATTAGCCATTATAACTAACTAGCGTAGGATTTGGATGGGTTATTTCTTGGGTTAACAACCACTCTGACTTGAATTAAGGGTTGAGAGATGATCACACTCCCAACTGCAAATCGTGTATTAATTGCATGTATTTTTCTTTTCTTTTTTTGTTATTGGATATGCATTTCCTCTGTGAAGATCTGAGCTCAGTTGGCTTATCAAATCTTATTTGGCTCAGTTGCATCAACCCTTTTTTGTGTTCCAGTAAAAATGTAAAATATTATGGGTATGACTCAGTTTGATTCAATGTAAATGAGATTGAGAACAACCTTTATACTATATAAACTATAAAGGGTGGAAATATTAATGAACATTTAGAGTGAACTGTGTTTTTGTTTTTTTGTCCTGTCAACATTGAAACAAAGACAGTCTATGTTGAAAACAGAGGAGTTGGTTACATTGGATAAAAGGTAAGGAAGTTTTCAATACACATACTGAGTACCACAAAGAAGTCAAAGCACCTTGTCATTCGCCACCATAATCTGAAGCCATGCTGCAACTTTTTAAGTCATGAGGTAGATATAGAATACAAGTCATAGGAAGAAGCGCCTTTTAGAAACATCAAATATATTGTTGGATGTTAACTGTGGCTCCTGCAACAACAAAAAAAAAAAAAAATGATAAGAACCTGTTATATCAAATCTTCCACTTACATGTTGGAATGGTATTTGGGTCATTTTTGATGCATTTGATAAAATGCATAAATAATTATGTAGATGAATTTTTGTAATGTGTTTAAGGTAATAATTTGTTTTCATGATATAGAGAATCCGATAATGTAAAATCTTGAAATCTCCCCTGCAATTACCAGGCACAGACAATGAATGGCACAGGCTTATGAAGGTAGCACAGGGAAACATGCATGAAGCCACAAACATGGATACACAGGAATTGCAATTTGCAAAGCTTATATTCAAGCAAGCTAGTAGTACATGCACAATTTCATTTTTTGAGGGTTCTGCCACTTGCTAAGATAAAATTCTAATTCACTTTTTGGGTGTTTCCTAAATCATCTTATGCTTTTTATCTCAAGATTTTACAAACTCCAAAACAGAGACTATTGCTGGTAGCCATTACCAGTAGAATGCTTATTCATTGAACTGGACTATTACTTTCCTTTGGAACCTTCAACCTTCATATCAAATGCAAAGGCAACCAATAATCTGTTTCCATTTTTTTCCTTTTATGGGTGGGTTCGACTCGTGGGTGGGTGGGGTGGCAGTAGGAGCTTCTACAGTTGGCATTTAAATAAATCTGAAACTGCAACATGTACAATTAGTCCCTTTAATATTCCTTCAAAATGGCCAAAAAGGGCCATCCAATTATTCATAATTTTTGTTTTCCAGATGACAATACTATCTATTTAACTTTTTACAGATCTGAGCCTCAAGATTCCCTGTATGTTTAATAYCTTAGCTGTCTATAAGATGTGGTATACCGACTAAATGGAATGTAGGTATCATTGTCCATGCACTGGAAAAGAAAAATCTTCATCCAATTACAGTCAGTCACTTCCCATGTGCTTTGAAAAACTAGTTTAGGTTCTGTTAAATGATAACACATTAGAGAAAAGGCAAAGGAAGCACAAAATAAAAGCAATGAAAACTCATAAATCTAAAATAGGAAAACAAAATCATACATCCAGAAAAACCAAACAAAAACAATAAAGAAGGGAGAAAACAAAGAATGAACTTAGGCACAATGGAATTAACTTGTATAGTCTGGTTGTTTTTCTTCTAAAAGAATCTCTAACTTTTCCCGACTTTTCATGATTTCTGTTTTTTTTTTTTTTTGTTATGGTGCTGAAAAAAAAAATCTGACTGCTGTGTAACAGTAATGGGAGATGATACCTGTCTTGACCTGCGGCTGACGCTACCTCCTGTCAAAAGCATTGTTTGGAGAGATGTCACTGGACCTTCAGCAGAACCTCCAGAAGAACCATTACTTATAATATCACAAATGGCATTCCGCAATGAATTTAACATGCCCCCATATGTAACCCCTTTTCCACACTCAATGGCTTGAATGAAACAGTAAGTCATGGCACCTGATGCAGTTTTTTGAGACAAATCCTGTTCATAGAGAGTACAGATTAAACTTGGTAGGTTAGTGTGTGATTCATAAAATGCCAATCACTTGCAACTGAAACAAAGATGCAATCCATTCAACATTTCCTAATTAAGCAGTAAAGAATATATCCAATTAGAGAGCCTAAACTTTACCAACATATCAACAGATTTTTGATCATCATCACACCCACTGAAGCAAATGGCCTCCCCACCACTTGTTCCTTTCCATACTCCTGTTCGGGGGCGATGATCCTCCCATACACAATTCCCATCCCTAGTTTTATGTAATAAGAAATAAATTAAAGTAGGATTGTGAAAATTGGAATTTAATCCCATCTTAAGTTCAGAATATCAGAATTGTAATTGGCATCTTAATGTTACATTCCCATCCATCATCAAATACTAACCTATGCATTCTGCAAAGAAATGGTAAATCTAGTACAGTTCCACTATTGCAAGCATCTATTATTGCATGCAGCTTAGCCCCATGAGGCAGAGGTCTGACGATTGTTGCATTTATCTCATCATCAACAATCATCCCCTGAGTTTTAAAGTCCAGGGGACAGAGGGTTTCATCATATCCATCAATCTCATCCCGATCATTATCCATTTGCTGTGAACCGTGACCAGAATAGTGAAACACCAAAGAGTCTCCTGATTGACAACCCTGTACAAGCCAATGCAATGCCATCCTTATGTTCTGTTTAGTTGGAATTCTGTATGCATCATTTTCTTCTTCTGCAGATCAATTCAACAAAAATGATTACTGATAGGAACTAGTATGAGAAACAAAAAGTATCAGAAAATCTTAACAGAATCTCCTGCCTTCTATCACCTCATTTGTGTATGGTCAATCAAGTTCTTGACTACATTCTGAAAATACAAGGGTGCAACTTTGACACATGATTTGCAAATTCCAACATTACTTGTGTAAAATGAAAGGTATCGTTCATTTGTTCTTAGAAGATAAAATCTGATCATTTGCTGAAAATACTATTGTTAATGTTGCTGCTGCTCAAAATTCGTGTTGAATGGAAACGGATTATAATTTTTCTGAATATTTCACAAACGGATTCAATTGTTAATTTTTCTGAATATGTTAAGGGATCGTACCAGTAAGCATGAGGATGGAGGATTCCGGGAACTTGAAACGATTGATGAGGAGGTAACGCATGCACTTGGCGTCATTGATGCAGCCCTTGAGCTCGTAGGGCGCGTTCCGATACGATATGCCGCATATGACCGCCCTCTTGCGGCCGTAGGGAGATGGAGGGGGACTCAGTGGCGCGTGATTGTAGGGCAACGGTGCGGCCGCCGGTGGTCGTGGAGGTTGGTAAGGAGCAGCTGAATACTTATTACAGGAGTAAGTACGAGCAGGAGGAGCTCTGCAGGGATCGGCGACGTAGGTGATGGCTCGGCATATGGAGCACCTAATTGATGTAGCGCAGGGAGGAAGTCTCAGTGGCGTCTGGCAGTTGGAGCAGTTAACAAGCCACATGACGGGTCCGATGGAGAAAAGGACTAGAAGCAAAGATTGGAAGCAGGATACCAAGTACAGAAAGAGATGGAAACCTAGAGAGAGAGAGAAGGAAAGCCAGACAGAGAGATGCAGAGTGAAATGGAGGAGGAAACTAATAAAAACTTGTCATGAAATAAGATCAATCCCAGAATGCTCTCTGAGAGAGGTTTGATTTGATTTATATAATGGGTTTTCAGTAGATTGGCATTTAGAATAATATCAAGAGGAAACAAGAAATAAATTCTGTTCAAGAGAGATCAGTGGCTGTAACCTGGAAGGATTTTGCTTTGCAATGTCTACTGGTTTTTGTCAAGTATTTGATATTTGACTTCAAAGAATAATTTCAGTTTTTGATAAACGAATCAGTTCTTTCGTTTGTTAGCCACCTTTCTACTGTGTTTTTACAAAATTGACCGTCGTTTAGAGACGATCGCGGTTAGTTGCCGGTTAGGACTTCCCTCAACTGTCAATCTCTTGACATATATAATGACATTTGTCGTGTTCATATCTGTCCCAACAGAGAATGAAGTCCGGATCTGAGCGCTCCCACAATCATACATGTATGCCTATTTTAACTATAAATAACCTCCACTAACAGTTGTATGTCAATTTTTGTTGATCATCCCAACACATTTCACGTAGAAACATCAACAGTAATAGACATAGCCTTAAATAAGACCGTATTCTGTATTATTGTTGTTTCGATCAAAACGTTTTGTATGTTGCATTGATTAATATAAACAATTAAGTGTATCAAACACCAAAAAGAAACGTTTTGAGTTGATTAATACAAACGCTATACTTTAAATGTTAATTCAAAACATTTCAAAGAAAATCAACAATGGTACCAAATACAACATAAAATATGTGCATTCCTACTAACCCAGATAATATGTTATGTCATCGTKTTATGGACCATCCGTTCAATTCAAACATTCCGACCGTTCGACCCGGGAATCAGACCCCTAATCTGTTCGTTGTTCAGTTCCATTTTAAAAACCTTGACTCTATGCTGCCAAAATTTTTTWAAAAAAAAAAGGTCAAAATATCGTACAAAATGGTATTTTGATTGGAATGTGTCCACTTCTTTCATTGGACGAAAATGGTTGCAGATAATGAGAACAAATTCTGATGTGGTCAATCAGACATGCTTTGCAAATTTCTATTTGAAACTTTATTCTTGTTAAATCCATCACCATCATCAAAGCTTTTGTTCTAGTTTAAAGACTTATCTTTTCACTGGTTGGGGATTCCTATTCCAATGTTCTGGTTTAAAGACTTACCTTAGCGTAAGCAAAACGTTATTCCTTTTTTTTTTTTTATCTAAGAAATCAGATATCAAAGTTTCACAAGGCAAAGCCTGCATTCCTGTGTATATGGAGCTTGAATTTTCAAAGTAAGAGTCCAGAGATAATAAGACATTACTACAACCAATAGTTGTAACTTGTAAATCTTTTTTCTTTAAAAAAGGGGTGAAGGGTGGGAAAAATGTCATCTCATACAGATTGCAAATTTCAGGACCATCTTATCATCAATGAATCTCAAATGTCTACTTTCGGCTTCTGTTTTTTCTTTTGCTGGGACTCACTAAAACCTCCCTGTTCAGGTTTGTCAGCGTGAGAATATAAGATTTTAAACATTGTACCATGGTTTTTAAAAACGAACCGGTCAGGGGTCCGGTTACCGGTTCGAATGGTCCAATAGTTCAATCTGAACAGTCGGCCCGTTTTGACAAAAATATAAAAAAAAATTAAAAAATTGGAAAGTGGTCAAAGCGGTTTGAATGGTTAACCGGCCAGTTCAGTGGTTTGTTGACCAAAATCAACAGTTTTGGACATGACTCAACACAAGTGACACGTGGACATGACTCAGCACAAGTAACAGCTCAGCATCACAGCCTGACCGCGACTAAGTAACGAGTCCGCAGAACAGCTCGCTACGTCATGGCTCGCTACAGGGGGAGCTCGCTACAGCGCGAGCTCGAGGACCCCCGGTGTACTAAAAGGGAATACTCCAAGACGATTCTACCCCAACTCGCAAGATAGGATAACCAGCTCGTTCCAATACTTAGGCAGAAAAACTGCCTCAAGGGCCACTTCAAGAGGAATCACCTTCCAATACCCTTAGGAGCTTGCTACAACGTAGCTCGCGACAGGATAGCTCGCTACAGGGCAGCTCGCTACTAAGCGACGCGATGTTTTCAGGAAGCTTCTATCTGACAAGACCGTACCTGTCAGACTGCGCCACGTCTCCTGACCGACGGCGCAGTCCCTGCCAACCCAACTAAGTCTGCGCCCACGTCTCTTGATAGGTGGTGGCATGTTTGTCCTTCCGGGACGTGTCACTCATCCGATTGGGTAGTACACTGCAACGGTTACTTGCGCAGCCCTGGCAGATAACGGCTGCGACAGAGGTCCAGTGGCGGTTACGCCCGATTTGACAAGAGCCCCCTAGTTGAAGGAAAGGGCTCTCTCGAATATCTGATATCTTATCTCGAATATCTCGAGCTAACTCAGTGATCTAGCGCGACCTACACTCTTAGCCTTCTTTACACTCTTTACTACTTTCTCCAGCATTTTAACTTAAGCATCGAAGTATTCCCACCGAGCAAGTTCCCCAGGAATCCTTCACTGCTCTCTTCTCAGGTATCGTCCGTCCCCAGCAAGGAGCCAGTCAGCTGCCATCTAGGAGTGCCTGGATTGCGCAGCATCATTTGGCRTCGTCTGTGGGAAACGCTTCAAAAAAGTCTTCCTCTAAGTTTCTACATTTTCCCTTCAAGAACTTAGTATTCATGGCCTCCTCCAGCAACGCTGGGCGTGGTGTCAACCAGAATGCTTCTAGAGAGCAACCCCAGCTTCCCACTGTCTGTATCGGAGTTCACCGTCCCCCTCTCTGTGGACGGAATTCCCAGCCTGAACATGCCTCTCACAGTGGCACCCGTGAACGCTCCACTCCCTTCCACGGTTGGAGCGACCTTTGTTGAACCTTCGGTTGTGCACCTAGTGACCAACCAGAATCAGTTGTAAGACTTAGTGCAGTGCATGCAAGCCATGCAGGCTCAAATGTAGCAGTTCCAGTAGTTCCAACTCTACTAGCAACAAGTGTTGCATCAGGTCTCTTAGTACCAGTATCAGCAGTAGTTCCCTTCCCTGCCTCAGGCCCAGCAGCCACTCCCTCCTAGGCACCCGGCCTCGAAGCAAGCCAAGCCCTCCCGCCAGAGCGAACGACCTCGCCGAGGAGAAGCCTCTCAGGCCCAGGAGCTGCTCCCTCCTAGGCACCCGGCCTTGAAGCAAGTCAAGCCCTCCCGCCGGAGYGAACGACCTCGCCGGGGAGAAGCCTCTCAAGTCCAGGATCTCTCCAAGAGCCACGTCTCTTCCCATGGCAGAAAGGAGAGACCAATCACCCCCGCCTCGCAGCCTATGGGCAGGTCGGGGGCCTCCCAGCTAGTCAAGCCCGTATCGCCATAGCACTCGCAGTTCGAGCTCCCACTCGCAGAAAATCCGTTTGAGGTCCTAGCCGCAGATACCATGCAGGGTCCTTCGGTCCAAAGCTACCACCAGCAGTCCAAGCCCATCGAGCTTAGTAACACTGAAGCAAGCAGCACCAACGTTGAGCCAAGAAAGCAGCAACGAAGACACCAGCAAGCTCGCCGGACTGCTACCCGTGTCTCGCCCGAGCTCAAAGGTAAAGAGGAGGTGAGCTCAAGTGAAGTAAAAGCTACTCCTCTCTTCTCAGTTCCTTCCCCATTGTCTCCAGAGCTTCTTGTTGTCCCCATGCCAAGAGACTTCAAGCTCCCTCCGTTGGACAGGTATGACGGATCCTTTGATCCGAATGATCATGTGGATGCCTTTCAGTCCCAGATGCACCTGGAAAGGACCAGTGAATCCTGCATGTGCATGGCCTTCTCCACCACCTTCAAAGGGGTAGCGTGCACATGGTACCGAAACCTCGCGCCCGGTTCGATAAGAAGTTGGGCGCAATTCGTGCAAGTTTTCACCTCCCACTTTGTCACCAGCAAGAGGTGCCCAAGAACTCAAGAAAGCTTCCTCGGCATAGTTCAAAGGGAAGGGGAGTCCATTTGAAGTTATATCAAGCGGTTCAACGACGCTTGTTTGCAGATACCCGATTTGGATCCCGCAGTTTGCCTCACTACGGCCAAGTGAGGCATCACCCACAAAGAGTTCAAGTGGCATGTAGTTGTCAATCAGCCCAAGACTATGACCGAGTTCCTCAAGCTCGCAGATCGGTTCATAGGGACGGAGATCAACCAGAAGGGCAAGCAGGCCCTTGAAAAAAGAAAGAGGGAACCAGAGCCCCCAGCTCAGGGCGACAGCAAGAAGAAGAAGGACCAAGCCCAGGGGGCAAAGCCAAATCAACCTTTCCGAGCTCCAGCAGCAGAAAGGGACTATACGCCCCTCAACGCGAAGCGGGCCGAGATCCTCATGGCGATCAAGGACGCCCYGTATGTGAAGTGGCCACCTCGGCTGAAGGCGGACCCTAATGTTAGAAATAAAAATTTGTATTGTAGTTTTCATAAAGACCACGGTCATAGAACTGGGAACTGTAAAAACCTCCAC